TACAAACACTTTATTTCCATTTTTTCATTTTCTCATTTTTTTTCTTTTCCCTTATTCCCCTTCCCCTACCCTTTCCACTTTCCTTACACCTTTAGCCCTTTTCCTCCTATTTCGCATTGTCAATTATCTCATTAGAATCTTATGTACTATTGCAGTTTATTCACACCAGAGAAACTATTCGGTATTTACACATGTGTGACTTATTTATTTCACTTAGGAGTATATCCTCAAAATGTATCCATTTTCCTATGAATGAATCCAATTTCTCATTCTTTATGGCTGAGTAGTATTCCATTATATAGAAAAACCACATCTTCTTTATCCAGTTTCCAACTGATGGGCCAATGGGCTGTTTCCAAGTTTTAGCTATTACACACTGGACCGCTATAAACAAACATAGGTGTGCATATATGGCTGTGATATGATTCTTTTAATTCTTTTGGAAAGATACCCAGCAGAGGGATGGCTGGGTCAAATGGAACCTCTAGTCCCAGCTCTTTGAGGTATCTCCATATTGATTTCCATAGTGGTTGCACCAGTCTGCACTCCCCCCAACAATGGAGAAGGGTTCCTTTCTCCCCACAACCCCCAAACTGGCCACTGTACCTCTCACTTCTCTGGCTAATGCCATCAGAGGCCTCTAAATGTCAAATTCAGTACTTTCCTCTCAATCCCTCCCCACCATTTGGGGGAGGTGTTTGACACAGTGATAATTCCTTCAAACTCATTTCTCCTTTTTTCCTCATTGAGTATTCCCAGGGCTCTCTCTTCCTGTCAGTTCCCTTTTTAGGTAATTCCTCCTTTGCGCTTCCTTTAATTGCTGTTGTTATCTGGGTTGGGTTCTACTTTCAGCTGTATCCCTGGGTATCCCCTAGTTATGAGCTACCTAAGCACAGACATATTCTGCCCATTAGACATGTCAGCCCATTGGGTGCCCTTGCTCCTAACTGTTAATTTATCTGTCTCCAGCCATTAACATATGTCTCTTGTATTCTAGTGTTTGAATGAGTACCTTTCCAAGAGGAACCTGTCCTTTGGCTATTCAGTCTCCTGAACAAGATCTTGATAATCTGAGATTTTTTAAAAAATTGAAACAAGCTGATCAATTAAGTTTCAGCCATTTAAAAATTGTGAAACAGAAAACAGTTTAGAAAATGTGAAGTTAGAGATAGGGCTGGGGTAAGGAAGGAGAAACTGTGAGTAAGCCAAAGAAAAGAACAGAATAGTCATATGGAAAGATGCAGTGATGTCAGGCAAGACCAGAAAGCAGAAGGAGTAGCCCACCCTAAGCAGACTGTGCAAAGGCCTTTGCCCTTCTTTAGTAGATACTAAACCTGATCCCACATGGTATTTCCATAGGAAGTTGGTATTTTCGGACCAAAAAGCAATGGTCTTTGAGAGAACATGTTCTTCTTTCTACCCTGGAATGCCAACCTCTCCACATTTTAAGATTTCAGAAATGATATACTTAAGGCAACACATCTCATAACCAGTTTCCAAACATCTTTTACTGTTACTACTCCAGAAGCACCCTCCAAGCCTCCAAGCAAAGGAGAAAAAGAAAAATAAACTAAGAACATGAAGTTGGAGTGGGGCCCTCCTACTTTGTTTTCTATATCAGTGCGAGAGAAACACAAAGGATTCCATGGAAATGCAAAGATGACTAACCCAGCCTGAAAATCAGACTGTTAACTCCTTAAGAGGAAGACCATACTATGTCCCTTTTAGTCACATAGGGCTTGGTATACAGGAGGCCTTTAACAATGCCCTGAATGAATGGATGGTCTACCTAATATCTTTGTGTCAATAAATCCTGAGTCTTTGACATTCTACAATAACCCTTGGACAGTTATATAGCCTCCAACTCAAAATTCTTAATCTTGTACTTCTTGGTCCTGACCTATTACCCTGTGTGGAATTCTGACTCCAGGGGCACTGTGGCAATCTGAAAGTCCAGGAAGTTGCTTTGTTTCCTAGGCTGCTCTCTAGGCCTTTCCTGACCAGAGGCCTGACCCCCTTGTCCTACTCTGAGCATGGGGATTCTGCCTACCTATAGGTAGACTGCTCCTTACCCTGTCCCAACATTAAGCCCTGTTTAGATTCCCCCCTGCAGGCCCTCTGTCCAAGTTATTAGATTTACTGGTTCCAGTCATTTCTGGGATGTTGTGAAGATGAAGAAGAAAAAAAAGAGGAAGGTCAGACTGGTATTTCTGATGCCAAATGTGGGTTCTTTGTTGAGATATGGAGGCTAAAATCTCTCGATCCATGGCTTCCACTGCTGGTATCACCTGACACCAACGCCCCCAACAGTTTTGTCTGGCCTCCACTGGTTTATCAAATACTTAGTTTGATTGTTTTCCCCATTTTCTGGGGGAACTGCTATATTCTTTACATCAGGCACCTATGTTAAACCTCATCCTTAATTAATATGGAATGATATTTTCTTTCTTTCTTTTTTTCTTTTTTTTAGCTCTATTTCTTTTTGAAGATTTGCCTTTTACATTTCAAATAGGAGTTAATTTTACATTGCTAAATTCTCCACTTTTTTTCAAAGTGAATGCTTATTTTTCTGATTGTAAAATAATACAAATTCTTACAAAAATTCAAACATGTATAAGAAAAATAATACAAGGAAGAAAACAAAAGTCAGCAAAATGTTATCACCTAAAGACAAGAACAATATTGAGAGCATGGGTTTGGGGGTACACCAAGACTGAAAACCATCACTACTACTACCTAAATGGTCTGAGCAAATTACTTAACTTCTCTGCACTCCAATTGCTTTATTTTAAAACAGAGATAATGACTAAAGCTATATGACATCTATAAAATTGTAGGTAATGGTATTTACTTATCGGTTGTTTCAAAGATTGAATTGAGAATGTTTAAATAAAAGGTCTAATATTATACCTGCAGCTCAACAAATGATAAATAATAGTGAATATATGTCAGACCTCCTTGTTTTCTTCTAAATTGCACTGACTTTAGTGTAATTGAACTTGTCACTAATAAACATTTATTGAGAATGTGTTAAATGCCGATGTTATATTATAAACAAGATAATTCTAAAATACAATTTAGCCACTTGTTTAAGCAAACCTTGTCTTGGGACATATACAGAATCGTTTCTTACTGCTATTTCTCATTAACAATATAAAATTGGTGCCAGATTTGAGCCATCTCCTTTTTTTTTTTTTTTTTCTTTTTTAGTGAGGGGATGATAGACTGTAACAGGGTTAAGGGTTGAGTCACTCATTTAGGTACCCACTCATTTAGAAGCAAGGTACCCACAATGTGGTAGGTGCTTAATAAATAATAGCTATTATTATCTACAGAATGCACGCAAACTAAAAGATGTTCATCTATGATTAACGGGAGTGAAAGTTCCAAGGGGTAGTCTTTTCTGATTTATTTTTAACCCTAAAACCAGGCTTTTCGGTAGTTGTGTAAATAAGGCACTAATCTCCTGGACCCAGTCCTATTTTTGTTTACTGGCATTTATTACCTTTGGTTCCCTCCTAACCAACACAATTCACTTACAGGGTTGCTATGAGGATTAAATGAAAATATCACTCTCAAAGCATCTGCTACAATGTGCCTGTTACATAATAATGCAATTGCCAACTGTTATTGATTTTATTGTGGGTGGGTACAGTGTTTCAATTATAACTCTGACTGAACTGAATCATTTGACTTGTCACCTGCTCTTTCTCCCAGTCTTTCATATCTCAGTCCAGGGCACCACCATTTACCACCACTACCCCTCTCTTAAATACCTTCATGAGAATGTAAGCTTTGTATTTTTTATCACACCTATATTCCCAGTGGCCCCGCATCCAGAACAATGTCTGGCCTTTGGTAGGCTTTTGCTAACTTTGTCTTCAATGAATGAATATTGCAACAAAACTTTGAAGCAGGTCCTATTATTATTATTCCCATTTTATAGATGAAGAAACAGACTTCTTTTTTGTTTGTTTGTTTGTTTTTTGAGACAGAGTCTTACTATGTAGTTGAGACTGACCTGGAACGCACTATGTAGCCCAGGCTGGTCTTGAACTCAGAGATCCTCCTGCCTCAGCCTCCCGAGTGCTGGGATTACAGGTGTGAGCCACCACACCCGGCTAGAAACAGACTTCTAGTAGTTACATAATGTGCCTAAGGTCACACACATAGCAAAACTAGGATTCAAATACAGGCAGTCTACCTCCCGTGCCTATTTGCTTATCCATTATGCTGTGGTACTGAACTACATTGGCTTCTAATGAATGTAATTATTAAAGATATTTCTTTGTTTTGTTTCATATTTTGGTGATGTTAGGAGAGAGTTTGTTTGAAATTCTCCAGTATGAAAACTTTCCTTGAAATTTTCCTATGAAGTTCATGTGCTTCTTCACACAACCTCACAGGACAGCACAATTTGGTTTCTCCCAGGTTTCCTCTCCTAATTGGCCTCTTCTCCCAACATTCCAGGAGCTATAAATGAACTTTCTCTTCTTGGCCAATGCTCCTACCTCTATTTGAAACATTCCCTGAGAGAAATTTACCATTTCTGAGGGATTATAATAGGCAGTGCTTTAGCCCCCAAGTCAACTACCAAAATGACCTGTTTCTGTTTTTATTGTCCACTGTTGCGCCCTTACTGCCTAAGAAGTGCCTGTAATAGAATCTGTACTTTAATAATTTTTTGTTGACAAAAGTGTCAAATCTGGTGATGAGTACTGAACCCTAGCTAGTGCATGCTAGGCAAGCACTGTATCCTTTATCTGCACACCCAGCCAGCAAAGATTATTAATTTACAATTGGAAAGACTATGGCTGCTACAGGTGAAGTATTTGATCTTCAGTCTGTCTTTAAACGACAGAGGTGAGATACGGAAGCCTTGACCTCATACACAGATTCCTGGGCCCACGTTCCCTTCTCTAGCCCTTCATTTCCGGTTTGTTCCTATTAGCTCCACCTACTTAGGCCTGCAGCGTTTCCATGACTAGTTTGACCCCCTGAAGCCTCCGTAGTGCGTCTCCCCCGTTGCCTTGGGAAACGACCCGGGACCTGGGAGGGAGCGAAATCGTTTCCCGCCGGCGGGAGCTCTAGTTGAGACCGGGTCTCAGAGCTAGCGGCCTCCATTGTTGCTGTACCATGGCAGACCAACTGTATCTGGAAAATATAGACGAGTTCGTCACGGACCAGAACAAGATCGTGAGGCGCTAGGACCGGGGAATGTGGGCGTCCGAGGAGGGTCCTGGGCCGGGCCGGGGCATTGGGAGCCTTAACCCTAGTGCTTGTGGCCTTGTGACACTGTCAGGGGTGGTACTGGTCACCACTTGTAGTGCCCCAGGGCAAACTAGGACTCGCTGGAGAGGTCATCCTGTGAGTGCGTTAAGCCTTGGCTGGGTGTGTTAGGAACTGCACCCCGCAGGGGCCTCGGAGATCAGCGCGGAGGGAGGGGCATTAGTTACTGGTATTTATAAGGCGACCTAACACCTGTCTTTTATCAGGTAGTTGGCGTTTAAAGCCCCAAGTTTACAGTTGAGGAGATTGTCTTATCCAGGTTAAGCAACAAGTTGTTTAACCTGTAGGCAATCAGCTTCCTCTTCCTGAAAATTTAAATAAATGTGATCCTACCTTTTGGAGTGGGTATAAAGATCACACGAGGCGGTGGATGTGAACGCTTTTTGCAAAACCGTGAATGACTGCCGTCTGTAAGCCAAAATACTTTGGATACACACTGTGTTTAGACTTTATTGTGAGCCCCTCTCCTACCCCCAGGTCGGTGGTAATATCCCTGGAAGAGGAAGTTAAAGCAGAAGATCCAAATAACTTGTTTATTTAGGGTATAAGGGATAGGTAGTTCTCGACTTGGACCTGTCTCTTCCACTAACACTATGCTGCCTTTGTGTAGCCTTTATTAGGGCTGGACTGTTGGAAAGTTAGCATGTAGAATTGAAAGAGACTTTTGAGAGAACAGGCACACTGGGTCAAGGAAGCGCGAAAGATTGATGCCAGTAGTTCCCAATCTAATTCTGAGAAAACATTCATCCACTTCATTCATTTGCTGATCTCTGCACCACCTGTGACCTTTAACATTGTTATGGCTGCAGTTTATCTTTGAAGTTTCTGAGTCATTCACTTAAAAGTGATCTAGCTTTTGGGTGAGTTTTAGGATAGTCTTTGGTTGTGGTCCTTTCAAAGACAGAGTGAAGAAACAGTATAAGTAAAATGAGTATGCGTAAAATGAGTTTTTCTTTATGTATATTCAGTCTGCATTTTTAGATACTTTTGCAATAGTCAGTTCTTGAAGCAAACTTCTAGGTATTTGTAAGATAATATTTTGGTTCTACCTGCCCAGATAGAGATGGTTCTAAATTGCAATGGAATGTATTATGATTTACAAAACATAATCATCTAAGAATAGGAACTTTAGGAGTGCGTCCTGAGACTGATCCACAATAATTTAATAAAACATTTTTTAAAATGCTTCTTCTTGCAGGTAACATACAAGTGGCTGAGCTATACACTAGGGGTTCATGTTAACCAGGCCAAACAGTAAGTCTAATTTCCTTCCAATTTTAATGACATTGAAAGTTTTTGTTTGACTTTGGTTTATTTTAAACTACTGTATACATAGCCACTACATTAGAACTGATTTTTTTTTTTTCTGGGTAAATAGGAGAGACTATTATTTCTACTACCTTTATGTCTTTAGATTAGTGGTGATAGTTTACTGGATATATTTGCAGCCTTGGCTTCTGGTTAACATCACTTTGTCATTTCCAAATTTATTAAATGCTCTAGCGAATTCGCTTTGTAGTTCAGATTTATATGTCTTGCTATCTTACATCTTCATTACATTTTCAGTTGTGTTTCTTAGGCCTATCTTTGGGTGTTACTAAAATACTTCCAGAATGAGGTCAACAGGTGTTTGACACAAGCTGTGTGACAGTGTTAACAGGAGAACTATTTAAGTGAAAATGAAGAGACTGTTTAGGTTGGTGAAGAACACTGCCTGTGAATTTTGCTGATCACTTTTCCGTTCTGAAACTGCTGGTTGAACTTGAAGCCAGGAAGGAAAGACTTTTGAATTAACTTTAGATTTTTTAATCTGTAAAGGTACAAATATTGCCTGTGTCACAGAAGAAGGGATTGGTGAACCAGTTGAGTGCACATAAATTGAGTTAAATGCACATTTAGTTTGTTATTTTTCCTAAGAATGGTCTGATTTTTGTCTGTTCCTTGAGAGAAAAAAGAGTTTAGCCATAAGAACATTCCACTGAACATTAGAAAGTCTCTGATCTCTAGAAGAGGTTGATTTGGCCTTGTATGGGTCAGTGTTGAACAAATCTAGGAGAATGACTTGGCTGTGATATTTAAGCTTTCAAGACCTAAAAGAGTTAGCCTGGGGATGGATTTAGTTTTGCCTGGGATTGCCCAAGATGAGTCCTAGCCCAAACCCAAGAGTTTCAATAACTTTGGGTACAGACGTCTATGAAACTTATTATTTATTGTGGGTGTGGATATTTACATAGGAAATGAAACAACTCTACTGTATACACTTATTGGAGTTTAAACATACAGATTAAGGACTGACATTCCCTGAAGATGAACTGAATATGCCTGTACTTTTACTGTAGCTAACTTGGTTATATAACATTTTTATGGCATTCACATGCTGTCTGGTTTCTGCTTTCATCCCATAGTGCTTTCCACCTCATTTATTGTACTCTCTACATACCTGTCTGTTATTCACATACAAACTCATTCTTACCCTGAGAACCTTTGTGCCATTTCCTCTGCCTGGACTGCTGCTTCTGGCTTTCTTCATCCTTCAAATTTTAGCTCAAATTTCACATGTAACAAGCCTTCCCTAATGCTCTATTCAGATATCACCATATCCCCCAACTCTCTCATAATATTCTGTTAATTTCTTTCATACTTAAAAAATAGATTTATTGAGATATAATTTGCATACCATATAGTTCATTGTAAAGTGTACAGTTTAATGGTTAATATATTCAGAGTTGCACAAGTATTACCACAATCAATTTTACAATATTTTTATCACCCACAAAGTAATCATGTCCATTAATAGTCACCGTTTCCCTCTGCATTCACCCACCCCATTCCCAGCCCTAGATAACTACTAGTCTTTCTGTCTATAGATTTGTCCTGTCTGGGCATTTCATATAACCAGAATCATATAATAGTCTTACATATCTGTTTTCTTTCACTATGTTATCAAGATTTATCCAGGTGATAGCGTGCTTCAGTACTTAATTCCTTTTTATGTATCAATAGTATTCCATTATGTGGCGTATTCATTTCCTACTTCTATGACTGCCATAAATACAAACAGGATGATTTAAGAGTTTTGAGGCTAGAAAGGCCAAATTCAAGGGGTTAATAGGGCCATGTGTCCTCTGAAACATAGAAGAAAGAGACCTTCCATATCTTTGTCCACTCTCCGATAGTTTGTTTGCATTCTTTAGCATTTCTTGCCTTGTAGCTGTATAACTCCAGTCTCTCTGCCTTTGTTGTCACATAGTACTGTATTCTCCTTGCATGTCTGTATTTTCAGATAGCTATTTTCTTATAAGGACTCCATTCATACTGGATTAAAAGCCCACCTTGCCCCTACAGTATGATTGTATCTTAACTAATTAAATCTGTATAACCTTGTTTTTAAAATAAGGTCACATTTTAAGATAATTGGTGAGTATTTCAACATATCTTTTTTCAGCCATAATTCAACATATCTTTTTCAGCTCATTTCATGGATATACTAAATTGTATCTGTTCATTTACTGATGATCATTTGGATTGTTTCCACATTTTATTATGAAGGATGCTATGAACATTTGTGTACAAGTGTTTGTATGAACATATGTTTTTATTTCTCTTGTATATTATAGATAGGATTGGACTTGCTGGTTTATATGATAACTCTTGTGTTTAACATTTTAAGGAACTGACAGACTTTCAGAGTGACTGCGTAATCTGAATCTTACCAACATTTGGGGATTCTAATTTCTCCACATTCTTTATTTTATTTCATCTTTATGTTAGCCTGCAGAGTAGCTGTGAAATGGTTTTTATCTGCATTTCCCTATAAAGTATTAAGTATCTTTTCATGTGTTTATTGACAATTTGTATGTCTTTGGAGGAATATTTATCAAAAAATTGTCCATTTTTTTGTTGTTGTTGGATTGTCTTTACTGTTAAGTTTTAAGAGTTTTTTGTAGATTCTGGATATAAGACCCTGATCAACTTTCTCCCATTCTGTAGTTTTTGACCTTATTTTCCTTCCCCCCCGTCCTTTCTTTCTTTCCTTCCTTCCTTTTTTGGGGAGTAGATTACAGGTGTGTGCTACTATACCCATCTGTGGTTACATCTTCTTTTCTATTTTATACATGTTTTCTATTTTTTCCCCCCTTAAAATCATTCTTTTGAGCTGTCAGGCAACTTGTTGCACTCTCTCAATGGTGTTCTTTGAAGGCATTTTATTGTTGACTTAACAGATATTTTTATTGTTGACTAAGTCCTATTTATTTTTTCTTTTGTTGCTTGTGCTTTTTTTTTTCCCCTCTTCTGATACCAGCAACTGAACTCAGAACCTTGGGATTTGTGAGCTACTGAGCTAAATCCCTGGCCTGTTTTAGTTTTTTGAGACAGAGTCTCAATATATATTCTAGGCTGGCCTTGAACTGACTCTGTAGCCCAGGCTGGCCTCAAACTTACAGCAAGCCTTCTCCCTCAGCCTCTGGGATTACAGGGATAGAACATCACACCTGGCTGTTGCTGGTGCTTGATATGTAGTATCTAAGAATGTTTTGCCTAACTAACCCAAGGTCATAAAGAATTATTCCTATTTTCTTCTAAGAGTTGTACACATTTTTCCTTACATTTATTTTTGTTACGTTGAATTTTCTTACATTCTTTTACATTGTATGATCTATTTGTTGTTAATTTTATAAATCATTGCTAATTATCACTGTTTTTAAGATTTCTACAGATCATGTGCTTGTTAACCTAACAAATGCTTCATTTCTTACAGTAAGAATACACAAGCTGGGTGTGGTGGTGCATGCAGATAAACCCCACACTTGGGAAGCTAAGGCATGAAGATTGTGAGTTCAAGACCAGCTAGACTATGTAGCAAGATCATGTCTCAAAAAACCAAGGGAGGGCCGGAGATTTAGCTCAGTAGTTCGGTGGCCTGCCTTGCAAGCACAAGAACCTGAGTTCAATCTCCGGTACCCACCCCCCCAAAAAAAACCAAAACCAAGGGAGGAAAAAAAAGAATACACTAAAACTTTCAGATGAGATTTTTAAATGAAGTGCTAAAAAAATATGTAAATATGACTATTTCTTCTAGGAATTACTTGGAATTTTTTGTACATTGGAGTAAAGAAAGAATCCAGTTTCATTTTATGCTTATGGGTATGTTAGTCACTTTTTCATCACTGTGACCAAAATACCTCTCATACACAACTTAAAGGAGAAAAGATTTATTTTAGTTCATCAGAAATTCCAGTCCATAGTTGGCTGGCTCCAAGGTAGAAACAACATGGTGCAGGAAAGATGCTCACTTACTGGCAGCCAGTAAGCAGAGGGAGCAAGGAATAGCCACAGAGAGAGAGAGTGGCTGGGGACAGGATATGTCCTTCAGAGGTGCACCCTCAGTAATGTACTTCCTCCATCTGGGCCCTACCTTTTAATAACCCATTCAGCTAAGAGCTCATCAATAGATTAACCAATTGATGAAATTAGTGCCTTCATCATCCTGTTATCTCTCTGGGTCCCACCTTTAAACACCTGAGACTTTTGGGGGACATTTTAGATCTAATCCCTAATAGTGAGTATCCAGTTGTCCCACAGCTTCATAATTCTTACTGACATTTTGCTTGCTATACCTGTCTTCTCCATTAGAAAAGAAGCTCTACAAAGGCAGGAATCTTTACAAATGTTGCAAGTGTCCATCACTGTTCTAATTACTATTTCTGTGTGATAAATCATCTCAAAATTCAGTGGCTAACAGCAACCATTTTATTGTGCTTATAGATTTTTTTTGGTGTGGAATTTGGACAGGGCACAGTGGGAATGGCTTATGTCAGTTTTATGATGTCTAGCACCTTAGCTGGGAAGTCTCAATGTTTGGAGCCCAGTCATCTGTTTAGGCCTATGTCTGTAGTGGATGCTGGCCATCAGTTGAGATTTTAGCTAGGACTGTTGACCAGAGTACTTCATGTGGTCTGCCTGTGTGGCGCAGGCATCCTTACAGCATGATGTCTCCAGGTATTCAGCATGATTTCTCATATAGCATCTCAAGGTTCCTAAAGTTTCTACTCTAGCACATGGTAAAAGCCAAGAGCCTTTTATGACTAGCCTCGGAGTTAACCAGTGAGTCACTAGCCCTCCCAAATTCAGGGTGTGGGGCTGTATTTTACCTCAATGGAAAGATGTAGAAGAGCATCTGAATGGAAGGTGCTATTTCAGCCATGTTTGGAAAATATAGGATGCCTGAATCATTGTACCTTCAGTGCCAAGAA